TAATAAAAACTTTTTAATATGAGGAATAGTGTTGTATTAACAATAAACGATGTGAGGGAAAATTATTCGGTATGCACGTACATATGTATGTCGGTAGCGTGCAGAAAACGTGGAGATTTATGCGACCAGTACATGGTACTCTAAAGCGCAATAATAACGACTGTGATGGGGAGAAGCTCAAGCTCTATTAAGAGAAGCACTTCCAGTATCTATTATTGTAATACATTATAGTTGAAAGTTACAAATATTCCTTGACATTTATAAATTATTACAGTATTAATCTTGATTTCTCACACAATTTTCTTTTGTATATCGTTTAAACTAAAAGAAAAGGAAAAAGAAATCGTTCTTTATCATATTAAATAAGAGATGTTATGATATAAACGTTGTTATAATATAAACATTACGCTTCATTTTCTCAATTGTTGTTTTGCATCCCGAGATGAAATCAATATTTAAAATGGCTTTAGTCATCGTTTGCATAAATCGATAAGTGGTTGATTTATATCTGTGCTTTAATTCATATTTCCACAGACGTCAACATTTATCTTTATAGTTTACAAGTGCTCGAGAATGTGTTACATAATTAATAAGTGTTTCCGCGACGATGAAACATGTGACCGCTAAGATATTTATATAATCCGTTAAAAAGTTTGAAAAAATTATGACGGACGAAATTCTTAGCGTGCATCGAGCGCGGAGCAGCGAGAAAGTATTCGAAGGCTGCGTTGATAAAATTAGAGTTCGAAACCAGAGAGAGTGATAGATTAGATGAGGTAACGCGTTTTGTAAAGCACATGTTGAAAGGGAACAATACAATCCATACCAAAATTAAACGCTGTCATTTTTCTCGATTTATTTAAATAACGCTCCCTTGTTTTAAAAGTAACAACTTAAAAAACGTGATTTTTTAATTACGATCATGAATGAGTTAAGTAAACATATTAATCCTTATACTAATTATCAAAATCGTCACATTATTAAAAAAAGATAGTTTGTAAGTGTTACGAAATGAAAATGATAAAAATTGAAAATAACATTTGACTATATTAAGAATATATTCTTTTTGTCGATATTATTTGACCAGTCAATAATTTTCTGTTAAATTGAAAAATAGTTTTTTCCTTTCTCTAAAAAATTTAATAATTTGTGCTACTTTTGAAGTAAGGAAGTGATATGTTCTATCTTTTTTCAAAGGGAAAAAACTAGTTTTTAATGAAATTATTAATTGTTAATTCTAAGATGCAAAGACTAAAAGTGACTAATCAATTGGATTATAGCAAAAAAACTTGGCGTGCCCAGGTCGCATTAATTGCGTTTTTATGAATATTATCACAACACAGTATTTGCATTATAGAAATATAAGAATAATGGACATATTAATGACATACAATATATTATATGTGGAACAAAAATATACCTACAAAATAAATATGATGTGAATTTATATATTATAGACATAATACAATATTATAGACGTAATACAATATTGTAATGGTAATATTTGGATGTAAATCATTAAAAATAACGAATTTGCAATATTAGTAAACAATTATTAACATTTCTTTGTTGTCAAATTATTGCTTTATGTATTACATATATTTACAGAGATATTATATGTAATAATCTTTTTATTCACTCTTATTATAAATAATTTTCATAACTTGACTTGACATTAGTCCTGAAACATTGAGTTTTAATGCATTTTGCCGCGAGCACACCGTTTTTTTTTCACTATAATCCAATTGATTACTTTAATCAGTTCGTCTCATGGCTCTTAGAATTAACAGGCTTTTTACAAATAAGCTTTTTCGAGGTCTTTTTATGAATAATGAAATACTAGTTAATTGCGTTTATTTCATATCCATTTTTTATTAGGAGGAATGTAATATTTAATACTGTTTTTATGCACTTGATGTATATTTTTTCTTTTTTTTTTTTAAGTTTTTCCAATTATTGTATCGTTATAAAATTATAGTGATACAAGTTGATTTTCAAATCGTGCTATTAAAAGGATTTAATTAGTGATCGATTTATAAGTTCAATATATCTTGCTAACAAGATGATTAGAATATATAACGACTGTAAACAAATCGATGTTGTATTTACACAACTGTTTACGCAACAGTTACTTATTGTATATCTATAAACTTTGCTACAAACTTTAATCTATAAACTCCGATCTATTAGTATTGTCTCAATGAAAATGCATTTGGAAAGATTACGAAGTAAAGGAAAATGTTTGACAATATTTATGTAAATTACATTGAGAATTGTTTGATTTTCTTCGATAAATATATTATTAACGGTTTTTCTCTCATAGTGTTAGCATTATATAAGAATACCATGTCATGATATTTAAATTCTTTCCGTCAAATAAAGATTTACTTTTTAAAGCAGACGAAGAATTAAAAGGAGCAAAAAGAGTCAATTAGGGCTGTTACTTTTGACAATTTCAAAGATTTAAAATTTTGAAACAATTCGAATCTTCAAAGTTAACTCCAAACCTTCGAAGTTTATAAGGTGCTTTGAAGTTTTCAAAGCTAAGTACTTCTAAGCTCGAAGTACTTTAAACTTTGAAGATTTGGAATTAATTTCAAAAATTCGAATTCTGTCAAAGTTTCGAATTTTCGAAACTTTTAAAGAGAAATCAATCTCAGTGACCATTATTCTTTGTTTACAAGAACTTAATTTTCCAGATTCTTAATCTTTTACAATAAGTCTTAAGTTGATTAGAGTTTTAAAAGTTGTTTATTACTTTGTCTGCCATTACTAAAATGGAATTTAATGATTTCAAATCGAAAGTAGATTTCGCAATAAATTTGTGACTTATTTGGATTCTTGTTAAGAAAAAAAGGGATAAGTGGGATTATATAATTCTGGCGCATTGTCCCCAATGTATTTTCCCGTAACGTCCTTGATCTGAATGGTTTTCCCTGTGCATGTATAATGAAATTTTATTGTGAACTCATTATTTTTAAGTTATTCGAGAGAGATGACTGTCAAAATAATTAAATTCAATTGATATTTTTGAGTAAACCGTGAAATTGTTAAATATAAAAAAACAAGTGTTAAAAACTTAACACTTGTTTTTTATGTTTAAATATCATCAAATGTGAGAAATTAGAATTATGTCATGTGCAATCTTATTTTATGCAATTTTCAGTGACTTCGATAAACAACTAAATGTGCATCTTTGGATAAATCGACGCGATAGAAATCTACAATTTTTCAAGATTTTAATAGATAAATACTTGATACAAAACACATTTTTTTCTTTGTTACCGCGCTATCTAAAAAAAATGCAGTAAATAAAAAAGAACCTACACGTTTGAGTTCTACCACAAGTCTCTTCTTGAAACAAGGTCTAAAAGCTCATATATGGAAAAATTGCACATAAATAATGTACAGAATTCGCTTTAAAAAAAAAAGAAGAATAATGTAGCCTGAAGAATGCATTAATCGTTATTATATTACAAGCTATACTAACTATATATAGTTGATATCACTAATCTAAACGCGAAGGGATGATGGTGCTCTAATGAAGGCCGCAACCCCGTGCAACTTACGTTCGAGCTTTTTCGTCTGTCGCTCACTATGCACGAGAGTGACACTCGTAGGCTAAGGCGTGTAAACTAAGTTATGACGGAGAGGACGAAAGAATGCAAGGCGAATTTTCGTGCGTGCGGATGTGCGCCCCCTGGCAGCACCCTCGACGTGGACTGCGCATTCGGTCAAGTACGAGGGATTGCTTTGAACAACGAGAAAATGCCGCGGCAACCACGGCGCTTTTCACTGTCCGAGAATTAAGGCCGGCCGCCGGATTCTCTTTAGGTCACGCCGGAGAGGGTAACTACCCTTCACGCGATCCATACGACGACAGTGTCCAGCGACGTCTAGCGGCGGATGAAGCGAAAAGTTCATCAGACTTGCGCATGAGTATTCGGCTTAATCAAGGTGAACTGATTGAAAGTAAAAGTTACGTACCAGACCGGCAAAATCGGAGTAATTCAATTTCTCGAAAAATTGAAGTAACTAAAGTATTATTTATTAGATTAAAATATTAAAGAAAAGAATTATTTAGGTAATATAATAATAAATATTAACAAGTGTTTTCAAACAAGTTCTTTTGAATAGTAATAGTTCTTTTAAAAACTAAGGCAAATATAATTTGCCGATAATCTATAATTAAAAAATGTTTATTATTTTTTTGAAAACAAAATTTAATATTTGATATTTATATAAAAGATATTTTCATACAAAGCCTTTATACAAAGATTTCATCAAGTTTTTATTCATTCGTAATTTTATCACATCTTTCTTAAATCTTGAATGTATGCTAAATAAAATAACATATAGGTGCTACGTGTAATATTTCATTAAGTGCTATTCAAATGTGAACAAGTAATTATGAAAATAATTATTCGCAAAACCATAGAAAAGAAATCTTCAATTATCTCTGTGATGTACAACATAAAATTAATATTATAAATATATTTGGTTATTTTTAGAAAAATGAAACGGTTCTTCGCCTCCATTTGAGGCAGGAATATGATATCGATTTGTTAATAATCAATGTTGATCGTCTGAAAACCTATATAAAACACATAAATAAAGATAATAGAGTGGCATTGATGAATATACTTGCTCTTTTAGGCAATGACCTGCTTTTACATTGGAATATCGATTCGTTTTTGTGTATATATTAGTACTATAATTCATCGTACAATAGTAATGTATCTACGATATTTTATATGTATTTTTATATCTACTCTTCTGTCATTTTAAAATATCAAAAAAAAAAACAACAGTCAGAGATGTATATGTTTCTGTAATTAAATGACACAATTGTTACGACGATAGCTAATTCAGGAGTCGCCCGCGCCGAAAAAGACTACAGAAGCAAAAGGGGCAGCAGTATGAAAATAAAATACTTTTATTTATAATAAAAGTAAAACCTTTTTACATATTTATACATATATATACTATATATATTGCTGTACCGTCATTGACGCTGACGCTGATGCGAGTCAGAACTCGTCGCGTCGTTGTACAGTCCGTATCTTCACTCGCAGTCTTGTGTATCACGCATAAAAAACCAACGAATGCACTTAGGAACTTCATCCCGTCCTCGACGAATCGAAGCCGTAGTGTGATACGAGCCGTAAGAAGTTAACGTTATTTCGGTCCATCGGCTTCAATGCCTCTGCGCCTTGTATTTTTAATTGCACTCACTTTTAGCAATGATCAACTTTAACTACGTATCACGTCGTCGTCTTTTCTCGTGAAGAAAGATTCCTGTTCTCTTCCGTCTTCAATTCTGTCACTTCACTACCCTACAGTTTTGTCGCACAATTTTTTTAATACTTCATGATGAGAACTTCTTGATGATTTCGCGAAGGCTCGTGTAGGTACCCACAATCAGGCCTAAGGTCCCGAGCAGTATCAGACACGTATTCTTCGCCACCATAATCTTCTTTTCGGTGGGTCCCAACACTTTCCAAAAGGTGCACAGTTGTATGATTGCCGGGAAAGTCAGTCCCAGGCCCGATAGACAAAACGCGCCAAACAGCGATATGAAGAGATCCAACTCCGGGATTGAGATCGCCAGAGCGACTAAAATAGATCGACAAAATGATTAAACGGGGTCATACAGATTAATTTTTTTTCTACATCAAGGATATACTATAAATATATATACTATAAATATATATTGTATATATACATATAAGAGATGCTGAGAAAGTTTACACCTTTTCTAGAATTCTTTATGTAACATGTATTTCGTTCAGCAGGATAGACATGCTATTTTTATTTGAATTCGGAATTATCTGTCTATGTTTAACGATAAGATTGTATCGAAATGTACTCACAGGTAATCAAAATTATAACAGTCCTAGTTACATATTCCCAGAACAGCTTAGAACGGTACTTCTCGAAGAAGTGACTGATATACTCGTTCCATAATATATCAATGGCGACGTAACACTGGATGGGATGCGTGAAGAAGATGGCGATAGCCAGAAGAATTTGCACTGCATCTCCTAGCTTTTCTTGATAGGCGGATAGGTTAAGCGTGATACTGCCAGCGATTTCGCTACCGAAACGCATGTACCCGAAGAATCCCATGCCGGCATACATCACGACTATGATGCCCATTGAGATGTTCAGGACACCGCAATGTTTCATAAAGGATTTAGGGGTTTTCATCTCGTTTTCCAATGGCATGATCTGTCAATAAACGGAAAATAATTCTGTATAGTCGAACTTGTGTACGGTCTTTTCGGAAATATCTTCAGGAACGATGTAGATATAAAGAATTCAAAATAATTAGTGCCTATTTAAAGCTATTATACACGTGGAAATTGCAATGAAAAAGAAACTTGTGCCTTAGGTTCAGTTTAGGCGCTCACGCACTGTAAGCTTCACTTTATTTTTATCACTTATTACATACAGAAAAAAGATAGCTAGACTCAAGTTAGCGCGTGAGCGTCTCAATCAAACGCAGCCTTAGAAGTATATAAATAAATGACTAATATATTCTCCGTAATAGTTTTTTTCATTATTATCTTCTTTCATTTAATTTATGCAAATGTAACTTCTACTTCTTTTCACGTTTATTTGTTATCGTATCTGTATAATAAACTATACATTTAAGACTCTTGTATATGTAAAATGTTCTGTTTCGCTCGATTACTTACTACACCAATAGCTTCAAGAGCAAACAGAACAGTGCCAAAGAAAAGCGGAAAATTTGTAACCTCTCCGAATGCCACACGCTCCTCGAACGACAACGGTTCTCGGAAGATATAGTAGAGTATAATAGCGATACCAACAAGCATAATAACATTCGCTAGCGTCGAGAATGGTGCCAAAAATTTAAGATTCCTGATGTAATTAACTAAGATCAAGGGTATCAGGATAATCGCCATGTATTTCTCCAACTCCATTGTGAAATATGGGCTCAATCCCTAAAAGAAGAAAATATATGTGATTATTTAGTAATGCACACAGATGTAAAATTGACTTTACTTAATATTACCGGAGGTAGTTCGATTTTTTATCGAACAAATTTTATTTTAAACCACATAGAAGAATTTCAATTTTTAATTATTAAGAATTTTATTAAGACACTTAAATTAATACCAATGAAAGAGTTATGTTATTATTTGTCAATTAATCTTTAAATGCAGTATTAAAAATATTGGATGTTTAACAAGAGCGTTACGCCTATAAATTATATTCTTAAATATATAATAAACTTAACATCAAGATACATGAATAAATGAACGTTTATGGACGTTTTTAGACGTTTACAGATGTAATCCTATAGACTTTATTTCTAAATAAAAATTGTTCATGAAAAATTATTAATGAAGATGGATATGCAGCTTTTATATACCGAATGCAGATGTCAACAAGTCTGAATTTTTGTAATTTCTCAAAATAATTTAACAAAAAACCGATTAAATATACGATGCCGTACGCATTTTACAACGCGTTAAATAGCATTACGCCACAAACCTATAAAAACAACAGAATCTTCGAAATATTTCAAGGAAGCCTTGAAAAGATAACGAAGCTATTTCCGTTAATACGACTAATCATATTGACAGCCATGTGTCGAGAGGAATATAATCAGCACTTCTGCCTTCTGTCACACTCCGTTGACATTGAATGCGTATAATTAAGTGCTGGATTTCTCGAGGCGTATACATACCGTTCTTTTTCTCATCAATGCGATCTTGATCTCTCATCATCTTTCCTATGTACGTCCTCAATAGAAAACTTTTCGCCTCAGTTTACGACACTTACGTGTTTCAATCACATAGCATCTGAAAACATAACGACGCACGATAACTGATTATTTTCGCTCACCTTCTCATTCATTCGGAATTTCGTTGAAAATTGATTTTCTATTTGCACAAAATAGCAAAATTAAAAAAATACAAACGTAAATTGAAACGATAGAAAAAAATCAATAATATATATCACTTGTTATTATTTATCAAAGTACATCTTTTTGCTCATTTTATTATCCTTACTTATTTTAATGAGTAATATAAATAAAAGCTCAATAGATGATTAATTACAACATATACCATGCTATAATTCGACGAAACATCGTCAGCTTAGCTCTTCTCAATCATTTGATGTATAGAAAGTACAATTATTAAAAATATAATTATATCGTGTAACATTTGCAAAATTACTCTGATAGAATTAATTCTCAACGAATGCCAATTTTTTTACAATTCCAAATAAATGTGAACATGAGTAAAAAGGTTTCACAATGCGTGCGTCATTGTATCTCAGATTGCTAATTTATGCAACCGACATAACATATATACGTACTGAATGAGGAAAAAAAATATTAAAACCGCAAAATAAATGTCACCATGCTTGTTGCGTATGATTAATGATGTACGTTAACTAAATTATTCTATCGCCATTATGTGGTCACTTTGAATCAAATACACGTTCGTGCATTCTATTTATCACGATTCCAAGAATTTTAAATTACCGCTTGGCATACCATATGGCGTTGTTACATCTAGACTTATAATTCTGAGAGCTCGCGTTCAAAGTCATATTGACGCCACGCAGTCTCGCAAATATTTTGCTAATACGTTACGTTACATGATGATAGTGCTCTCGCATATGTGATGTGCTGTCGTTAATTACGCTTTGATTTCAAGGACAGGGCGGAAATGGGTGCGTTACTATCGTTTAAGCTTTCGTTTATCACTAGATCGAATCTAGCCTTCGTCTTACGTAAGCTAGATTTAACAACATGCCGCTGACATGCAATCGATATTGAATTCACCCTTGAAAGTTAATGTATCTTTAGGCGAATGATATTCGTTATGTAAACGAATTACAAATCAATTGTCGTTAACTATTAATTATCGTTCAATCGAAGATGTATACCTACTGTTGTATCCTTCCGCTGCTTAGAGAAATTAAAATTATCGACAAAAATGAGTATTCGATAAAAGAAATTCAAAATAAAACGATAATTTTCTCTTATGCCTTAAATCTGAATCATTTTAAAGATTTCCGTTTAGGGAATATTGTTATTTGTCGATTGCAAAGATACGCGATATATAGAGCAGCTTTTCGTTATAATGCCCTCAATTGATTGTCACTAAAATACATATATAATACTTCGTGATAATCGACCGTATCATACGTTATCAATTAACTACATGCAATACGTGATTTGATTTAATCATAAAATGAATCTATGCTACTGCGCACATTTATGTATATGTAAAGGTATCGCTATAAAAATTTATATATATATATATCTATGCTTGTAATTTTAAATCAAATTAAATAGGAGAATTCCTATATTCGGTTAAATATATTGTATTGTGTATATATATATGTATATATTATATATAAATGTATTATACTATATACTCTTATCAAAGATACTATAAGTAGTGAATTTAAAGTCTTTAGAATGTGAGATGTTATAAAATTCTTTAGTGGTACTAAAATCTTAGAAACAAAATTAATTGCATCATTTACGTTCAGTATTTAAGTCAAAACATCTTTTAGCAGTTATAGTCTCTAGTAATTGCTTCGTTTACCGTATTCGTTATTGGATTGTTATATAACGTGCATTAAATTGCTTCGCGAATCTATATGTTGGAACAAATAATCTGCCGCCAAGAATTACGAGTACCTTATAGAAATAATTTATTCAATCGCTTTTAAGATAGTATACCTAAGCAGTATATATTAAAAGTTAGACTGGCTTTTAGGACTCTTTCCTTAAATTCTTGAAATTTCTTTATAAGTCACTCTTTCGGATTTTTTCGAATATTTAAATTGCATTGATAGCATTATTTCTTTACATATTAAGTATTATATAAAACTAGCATCGTTTTATTATTTTTCTAGCTTCTATCACTATCCTTCTTTTCGTAAAAGAATTTTATATATTCTTTTAATGTTTTTTTGCTATTTTTATGTACTATAGATCATATTTATTATCTATTATTATTCAACATTTATGTTATTGGTATAAACATTTATTAAGGACATTTATATCCGAATTATCTGCTCAAATTATCAAAGATTTAATAAAATTTTATATACACAAACTTTAAATATTATATTTGTATTATAATTAATATTACGTGTCATACTTAATATATCTCATAATTTTTAAAAAAATATATAATATATATAAAATACATACAAAAAAATATATTGTGTATGTTATATTATTTTATACATTATATTTTTATAGATTGCAAAAATTATATTACACGTAATATTACGTAGTTTATAATTTTCTCCACAATTTTTCCTATATCTTCGAAACTTTTCATATTTGTAATTGAAATTTATTGATCGAGTCTGACATATGTCTGTTCCGATACTTAGAACCGCAGTTTAAGGACTTTGATATTTATATGACTCTTTAAACGATTAATGTACAACTTTGTACACAGTTCCGTTCACTTCGCATCCGACCATGAAGTCGCGGCATGCTCGTTCACCACGAATACAGGCGGCATTCAACATAGTTCAACGCGGAACGCATCCATTGCACACGTACACTCGACTTAGATGCCGTAATAACATATGTGTCGTAACGATAGTTAACTATCTATTACATCGCGCGCGCACTACGCAACGCCTTCCAATCCGCGGCTAAGGTGTCGTCCACATAAGGCTTAGCGCCGTCGTATTTCACAAAATTGCGTCACCATAAACGCGCCGCGGTGCAACTGCATTTTCACAGTGCGGACATGTGAAAATTCCTTTTCGTATATGGAACGTATTCCACAAAATATCTGTTAACCATCAGCGTCAATTCTCCGGCCATTGCCTCTTACTTCGCGTGCGATCAAAGTGTCCGACTCGTTCGATAAGAATACATCGAGGATTTAATAACTTTTGAAAATTGCGTTCTAAATGGCTGGATCGCAGGAATTTGGTCTTTCCGTCCAATCTGTCATGTAACGGCATTTAAGTACGTTAAGAGCGAGTGTTAACGATCGAGTATGGTTTACTTGCAAAAAAAATTTATATAAAAAATTCTCTCGCGTTATTATACACCGTGTAATCGTAATGTGAACGATACTTAAGTTGACGCTTATTCTATCCTAGTGAGCGACTCTTACTTCTGCTTGATCTTACACTCATGATAAGATTCCATTCGTTTTGCGTTGCTGCATTGATTCTTGTGCGACCGGTGAGATAGTGAAATTCCATAATAAATCATTCGATGCGGATGTACTAGACTTCGCACGACGTACATACATGGAATACAAGAATAGGATGAGAATGCGATTGGTAAATATTTTCATTTGACATATACGATTGACGTAAATATGTAATTTCTACAATCCGCTTTTATCATTTCATACTAAAATACATTAGTATGATATAAAAAATAATTTTTCCTCCGATGAGGAAAAACTCCGAGGATATCGTACAAAGTGTCATCCTCTCTGCAATTACATTACATTTTACATATGACGCTTACATTCACCTGTCTATTGCGATATGTCAAACGTAGTAACGCAAGTTGCTTATTATTAGGATGATAATTGAGAAGTCGTTAAAACTATTATTTTAAATAGCTATTATTTTGTAACAATTAAATGGATACAATTAAATGAATTGAACATTCTACAAAAAAAATTCGTTATTTTTTAGCACATATTGCCAGAAGAATGTACGTTTATAAACCTGTAAAAATAAATATACGCAAAAGCCAAAAATTTTGCTGATTGCGTAGTTCAGTAAAACACGGAAAAAATATGATGTTTATTAATAGTAACAGCTAATAACAGTTTAATTAAAAATAATTTTGTTAATTATTAATTCAACAGTATTAATAAAATAAATATACGTTATGTTCTTGCTTTGATACGAAGGTACTATTCATTTCATTGATATACTATTATTAAATTAACGAGATTATATTCTCAGATTACTGTTAGCTTCAATACTGTGTTAATATATTATATCATTTTGTTTCATATAACGTACTTATATTCAGAAGCTCTTTAATAAGTAGTTGTTTTTATAAAAAGAATTTATTTGTGTGATAGTTTTTTCGAAGGTATTACGATAATTTGTGTTCACGCAAAAAAATATTTTGCTGCTCCAGCTAGAATTATAGTTGATTTTTGTATTTGATAGAAAATGATGTATCAAAAAAGTGATCTTACAGTTATAGCAAAAATTATCTAATTACGAAAAATAGCTAAAATAGATAAATTTCTAGCAAATACTGCCATATTGGATATGTATTGCATCTAATCATATAGATGACAGAGATAAAATTTTGACAGAGATAGAATTTAGATTTGTGCTATAAATTCTATGCGTATGATATATAATTTTCTATCAGATACAAAAAACAGCTATAATTCTAGTTGGAGCAGCAAAATATTTTTTTGCGTGTAGGACGCTCACAAACTGATTGCTAAAATCAAAACTTTTTGCAACATTATCGTTATGCTTGAGTATCCTATACATAATTATTTTGATGATCCAACAAAATTATTTTCAGACCTGTACCTGACCAAATTTTTAGACATTTCAATAAAACTATCTTTTCCTTAGTAATGAAACATTGTATAATGTGAATACATAAATAAGACTTTATCCCCATCGATAGTTAATAGTGCTTTTACTTTATATTGTTATGTAACTATTTATGTCGTTCAAAAATTTATATTAAATATTAAAATTATTATATTAAATATTATATTTAATTTTATTATATTTATATTATATTTATATTTATTTTAATTATTATATTAAATATTATATTAAATATTAAATATTATGAGGATAAAGTCTTATTTATGTACAATCACATTATACAATGTTTCATTACTAAGGAAAAGATAGTTTTATTGAAATGTCTAAAAATTTAGTTATATATAGTTACGCTTTACGAACTATGTATATATATATATATATAGTTCTTAAAGCGCCTCGATTATTGTGCGAGTTCAAATGGTCGTTAATTCGAAAGCAAACATCAATATCGTAATCAAATTGTTGATTCCTTTTCGTAATGTTCGTTTTTATAAATTCACATTTATATCTTTCTTACATTACGTGCTAATAAAAAATGTGTTGACTGGTTTTTTCTTTATAACATAATGTTTAAAATTTATTTTATCTTATCTATTTATTATAAAATAATAACTATTTTTATTTTTAACAACTTCTTGATCGGCACCTATATATGTAGACATAAGAATGATCGAATTTGACTCACAATGAGACTGATAAAGTTTGTAAGACAAACTTTGGTGAAACTCGAGCAAGTTCGTGTTTTCGATTTCGATCTCGACGTCACCGAGAATGTCGATGACCAGCCGTCTGTGTTAGGTACAATCACCTTGACTCAACCGTACACGCATTAATTATCAGTGACTGTCTACTTGCATATTCTCTTACGGTGTATTTCCCTGACCTAGATTATTCACTTTTCAGCCTACGCACTGTAATGCAGGCAGATACGCGATATCAGATTGATTGGATACCACCGAAAGAGTTCAAACAAAATTATCGATAAATGTAGTACAAACGAGTACGAAATAAAATTAATAACGTGCATGTATATGAGATTGAATTATTATAAAATTACGTACCTCAAAATTATATATCGTAATATTGGATCTAATATTGTTTCAATAAAACCGATAGTCGATTTTCTCTTCATTTTATATCGCCCGTTCAAAGATGGCATAATTTATTAAAATCAAGTTTTTTTATCAATATATTATCAGTATATTACAATCTTATAATGCAAGAAATACGTAAAAAAACAAAATTTTATATTGAACGCGACTGCCCGATTTAAATCCTTCATACATATCGAAAAAGTATCGCGTATTAGGTATCAGGGTTGGTAAAAAAACGTGTTTTAAACAATTTAAAACATGCTAAATTGATGTTTTTAATATGTTTTAAATATGTTTTTTTTACAATACTGTTTAAAACATATTTGAAGCATTAAAGACATATTTAAGAAGAAACACAGTATCTTTTATTCTTTAAAAAAAACATTAGTCTTTACTTTTCTGTTAGGTATGTAATGCTAATAACTTAAAGATAAAAGTTTCGAAAACGCGTTTTCAACTGTAGTGAATCATTCTATCTTCATAGTTTTTCAACCGAAAAAACGAAAACCGAATGCGCTGATAATACTGAAAGCGCGCTCCCGAAACGCAGTCAATGTTTATGAGAAACACAAGGTATGAAAACAAAATATAAATCAAAAATAGCAAAGGTACTCACCGATTGCAGATTTGTAGCAATAAAAACTAGATAGACGCAGCAGGTGCCCATCTGATAGATTAGCAGAAAGATATTTACTACGTATCTATAAATATAGAAGAAAAAAGTTTTTTTCATTATATAGATGTATTTAAAAGCGATTATTATTGTTAATTACAGCCATTATTTCGGTTATACAATACGGAAACATGATAATATAAAATAACTCTTAAATACCTCTTATTACATTTAACTATCGGACGTAATTATTCTTACCAACAATGTTGCGCAAAATATAAAAGGAAGATATTTATATAATTATATTGCACATTTTATTTCTTGAAGTTACGCTGGAAAAAGTGTAATGTACTCACATAGAGACTTTAGAAAACCGTCTAAGGAACATCGGTCCCTCGAGCAGAGCGGATTCCGCAGTCCCCGGATACGTCATGGCCGGCACCCTTTTCCTTTTGCACAGTTCGTATTCCGAGCGAACGAGAATTCGCATGCAATATATGCAGAGAAGCCCTATAATGATCGTGGCTATTATGCCGACAACGTATCCAGCATGATAGAAAGCCTTCGGCATCGCGAGGATCCCGGTACCCAAACTGCCCTTCACTAGATGAAGCATGGTTTCCGCATTGCTGAAAAACCACGTTATGAAGAAACCGCACATTTATCATGATCATTAACAATTGTATTAAACAATAATGAGTAGAAAATAGACCAATAAGTGAATAATACAAATAAGAGAAATTAGCTTTAAAATTGCAAAATATCCAAATTGAATAGATTTTCGAAAGAAATAACGTTTGTACGCAATTTTCTGATCTTACACATCGCTCGATTTACCGACATTAAATAAATCAATGAAAAAAATTAACATCGAACATTATAACATTAAAATATATTATATTAAAATATATTAAAATTATTAATAATTAATATAAGTTATTAATAGCTCTGCAGTAATAATAATTAATATATAGAATATGATAAGTATGCATTTCATGTTTCATCAAGAAGACGTTTTATCGTTCATTCGACATGATTTAATCGGATTAGAAAATTATGCTAATAAGGCAACTAACGCGTATGAGACAAACGTCATTTTGCATGCGAGGGAAATAATACGAGTTATATAATATTCTTGGTCACCTTGAATGAGACGAGTTGTATTGTTTTTCACTTTAATTAACACTTCAATAAATCAGATATTTCAATAAATTTCGATTGGACGATTTAGCAATACATATATCAGACAATCAATCGCCAGACAACTATTTTATTATGATCTTTATCAATTAAAGGTTTATGTATAAAAAGAAACTAATTACTAGTAGTTAAACTTATCAAGATGATAAAATAACAAAAATAGAAGAGATGTTATGCCGATATCTTTACCATCAAAGATGTCCCTTTTTGATTGTATTATGATACACTTCACATATTTTCACAAATATCTAAAGATATATTATTTTCAAGTTATCGTCTATCGTTTTTAGATAGAAACAGTTACTAATTTTTCATTAAAGAGGAATGCGTCTAATCTTTTAGCGAATAGATTTAATAATACCATTATATTTTTAGTAACAAAAACAACAGAATTGATATATCAATCTCTCACCCCCCTCTTTTCATCTCTATGGTATATATTATATGTATATATTGTACATAAATACATTTTTTACTATACTGAATTTATCTTTACTCGCTTTTACATATCGCATCCTCGTTAGAAAAATAAAAAATACGAGTCAAAAATATAAAATTTTTCAGAAGAAAAGAAAAAAATCATGTATTTCAAAATTTAATTACATATTATGACGATATTAAATATTCATAATTTAATTTAGAGCTAATCACAAATTGTTTATTTCAAGTTCTGTAGAACTAATGTATATAGATATGTAATTAATTTTGTTGAAATATCTTTAAGTTGCGTATCCCTCTAAAAACTACCCTTATTTTAATTTGTATCATTTTTCTTTTATGTCATTTCTTCTTAGAAAGTATTTGAATTCAACTTGTATCACTTTCCCTGATTGAAGAATGATGTATTTAAAACACAATCCGAACATAATACGAAAAATTTTGACTTATGTCACTTTTCTTTTGGAGGATTGCGATATATTAATATTAATATTAATATTAATACTAATACTAATACTAATACTAATGTTAATGTTAATATTAATACTATCATATTAAAACAGTTGCCTTTTATTGAATTTAAGTATTAAAAGGTATGAAAAATAAAAAAAACAAAATTAATAGATATAAATATATTTACCTGTTATACATGCGATAACCAATCTATTTTCCATTTCCCATGTTATATCACATTACGAATGAAATAAATTAACGTTGATTAACGTAAAACATATTGTAATTATTAAACTCACTTAGTCGGATGCTCTACCACTCTATGTTCATATGGGTCATAATCATTTTCCTGCTCGTATACGTTCTTTTTCTTTTCTTCGAGTTCCAGAACATAAATACCGTCACTCTTCTCGGTCGATTTGTAGCTGTAAGAGAGAATACAACTTTTATACAAATCATGCGCCCTAAACAATTTAGGCACATGAGCTGAGGCTTATGATACAATAATGAAATTTGTTTGTGATACAATAATAATGAAAGTAGCCAATATATTTAACTCGCGTAATGACACCTTTCTATATTAATTTTAAATTGGCATTAGCATCTTTCCTTAGCATTGAAGTTAGAAATTTTTAAAAATAATTTATGTAGGTACATTATAAACAGCTATTTACATTATAAACTATCTTCTGTATATTTTTATAAAATTTATTATATTAGACATTATCACATTAGACACTCACCCATGATGATTTTTAGACGAAGAAGACTTTTTAAAATCCTGCAAAGCATCCTGTAAAAATAAATCATAAATGTTTTCATTAAATAAAATTCATACTTGTGTTTATAACTATAAAAGTCTTATTGATATAAAATAAAATAACAGTTTTTTGTCCTGTTTATAAACAACGCACAAACTTTTGTCTGCTACAAATGTAATTAGAATAATAAATATAAATATATCTAAATACGATTTTTTAGACGTATCTTAAATCTTTCTTCGGATACACATTATATACACAATATACAATTTTCAAATATCATTGTCGCTGATATTTACTGCATGTCGTATATCACATCTATTACTCATAACACATTTATATTCCAACGATATGCATGATGTTATATCCGTCGATTGATTCCGATTTTACTATCTATCACTGTATATACGCAAGTATAATCATTATGACGATACTAGACAGTTACGATAAGATGTTATCGCTTGATGAGTACACTTGCATATATATGTGAACGTTATACAGACAAAGGTCGCACATTTATGCATTTTCTACGGTATTATTTTATTTATGCAATATACATTTACAATTTAAGTTATATCGAATTTGCTAGTTTTTCAGCAATAAATGTATTTATTAAATCAACATCGAAATATACAAGTTCATTGATATGAATAAAAAATACGAAATTTTGAAAATTTCTCCAACAGTTAATAAACTGCATAAATATCGTATGGCACATTGATTAATAGCTTGGTCATCGCTTAAACGCACGAATGCTTGCTTTTGAATTATCCTTAATATTCCTGTAATATTCCGCGTCTGCAGCTATTGCGACATGAATGGTTATAGATAGCAATTTAATAAGGAAGAATTTCGCCCGGCTTTTTCCGTCAAGTCCAATTGATTGAATCAACCGATCGTCTAATATTAGTATACTGCTATTACTCTATCTCTATTGCGATAAATGATTCTTTTCCTTGATGATTCGTGTAAAGCAAATGCCTATTTCGTCACAGGCGCGAATCGAGGCCCAAATAACTAGGCTCTTTCAAGTTAAGGTTTTGTGATTTGCATGACCAAAAATTTATGAATTCAGAAACTCAATAAGTATCAAACGTTCGCTTAGACAATTTTGAACATAACCGTACAAATTGCGGTTTAAAAAAACAAAACTCGTGACCTTAAAACGTATTATAAATTGTCGAGTGATGAAATTTTTCCTTAGTGGTTTTCGTGCAAAGCGTGCTTATTTCGTCGTATGAAAACTTAGACATCTGCGGTTTTCAAACACAGTTTTTGTGGTTTACGTAAAAAAAAACTTATATAAATTCAGGAATTCAGTAAATGTCAAAAGTTGGCTCGGATAATTTTCGACGTATAAGTCGTACAAAAAAAATGCGACTTAAAACACCAATCTCCTTGTAATCTTAAAGCATAAATCGTGGATTGACGAATATTTTTTCTCGATGGTTTTTGCACAAAACGAATGTCTATTTCGTCGTATGAGCGAATTACGTTTCTATGGTTTTTAGGCACGGTTTTATGATCTGTACGAAGAAAAACTTATAAAAATTTAGGTATTCAATAAATGTCGGTCAAATATTCACTCGATCAATTTTCGACGTAACCGTACAAATTGCAACTTAAAAAGACTAACCTTCACGCGATTCTAAAGAGTAACTTACATCTGCATAATTTCTAGCGGTTCATACATCTTTTTTATATGTAGTTAAATTGTCAATGTGACGAATACGAGAAAATTTTCTTATCCCGCGCTGTGCAAATGTATAAATTGCATAATGCGCGGATAGAACCATTTAATATGACCTTCAAAACAATACTACGCCCACAAAAGTAATGCTATGCGTCAGTAACGGTACATATGATTTATGTCGAGCAGTGGAAGATTCTGTCAGGTCGTATTAATGTTATTAAAAATCAAATACACAGATATAAAAGTATTCAATTCGCAAATACGTGGCTTTGAAAAATTTGCCGTTATACTCACAAATGTCAACAACATTGCATCTGATAATATACCCTTTTGCGATAGAATTTCTTTTTCTTCGATATTCCACAAAACATAATAGAAATAAAAAATCTCGCATTTTTTTTATTTATACTGTGTTGAGACGAATATAACATACATTTTTTCACATAGGTTTCATATTTGGAATATAAACAATATTTCGAAATTAGATACAAGTGCACAATAACAGAATTATTGGAACTTGATACAATTAACGCGCATCGAAAAATTAAAAGGGATTAGTGTCGTGTCAATGATGTTTAAATCATCGAAGAGAAAATATGATTATCTTGTTAACGCGTTATTTATGTTACCAATGATATTGCTGAGAGAAGTATTAACTCTCTCGTATACCCGCCGATGTGTCGAAGTCCTCCTGTTATTATTTCTCTAAGAAATGTTAAATGTTTACTTTACACGTGCCAATTAATGGCGGTGATAAATCATTACAAATAAGATTACAGATATACCTATGTATAACTCTTTTTTAACCATTCTACGCGTTACCTCGCATTCCGTTCGCACAGTTGTCACGTTGTGCACGCTTTTCATGTCTGATTAAAGATCATGTTTAATGATGGATCATACATTGTGTAAGTATCGGTACGAAAATTGACAAAGCCGTAAACATAGTTAGACAAGTAGGTGGATGCTCCACATATCTTCTACCTATCTTTCCGACACGAAATGTAAATGTCCTTATCAACTCTTGTTAAATCCACTTATTTGCAATACTATACTCGTATCTCTTGTATTATACTTGGGAATCTCTGATATAATTCCAATAAGATTATTTTCAATAGATTACATTATTTTTAATTAGCTATAGAAATATGTTATTTACACAGAAATTTAAATATTGAAACTGATTTTGTACTTTACATTTTAGCTTGCATTCCGATACACATATATATGTATATTCATTGTCAATACTAAAAATCTGTAATATATGTAACATGAACTATAAATTTTCAGTATTGACAGTGAATATTAGAATGCACTTTTAATAATGACATTAGTGTCTAAAAATAATGTTTAATAAAAATGTAATAAAATATGCGTTTATAAATTACAATCTAATTCGTATAGAAAAATATATTATATAAAAAAAACATTAATATATAAAGATTAAATATGATAAATAATTTTGAATAGTGCAATATATATTCTTTATTAAATTATATCTGAAATAAATTGATTTATAATAAAGAATATAATATTGTATTATTCAAAACATTTAAACTTTGACCGTGTTGGCATTCTCTATCATATTTGATGTATTCATATATGCGGTCGTATAATATTAATATAGAGAATTATAGACAATTTATGAGACAAGTTTAATATAAAGAAAAGTACTTGCTGTGTGGAGATTAACTTAAAATTTTAAGTTTTAATATTGATTGTTACAATTAATATTGATTTTTATAAATAATTTTTAAATCTTATATCTTACTTTAACATTATAAAAAAGTAACGAATCGTTTAAGTAACGATAACGGTAACGCATTATTTTTATGAAGTAGCGTTCCTAATTCTGATAAAATGTAAATAAATTTCTATTGGGCGTAAAATTAATTTAAGTTTCCAACCAACACAATAAAGCGTACATAACAATTTTCAATCGTACGTAAAGATTATATGTACATTATGCCTTTCTTTAACAAAACATTCATACCAATATAGTTTTAATAAAATCAAAGAACCGATGTATAGTGCGAATATTTAAAAGATTATACACAGAGACATGTAACTTTATTAACTCTTCGCGTCGGTAATTATCAATCCGATGTGATGCAGCAAGTCAATAATAATTGTTATAATGTAATTGTTAACTTGGATGTCCGGAAATAACTGTGGGATGTTACCTGCCTATCATGGAAAAAAATACGATTATACTATTAAGTTCTCAAACCAGGTGACAAGATTAGGCGTGGAAGAAAACCGGTGGAATATTACGGGTTTGGAAAAATTCCATGAGATTAGCGCACGCTCTAATAGGCGTGCTAATTGTCCATACCACAAAAAAGTGATTGTGAAACATCGAATAAAGTTGCCTTTGGCACGAACAGGAATGTCAAAGGTATTAAGAAAATTAGCTTTTTTTATTACGTTATAAATAGTTATCTCAATTATAATGTATTAAAACATACGTCTGTAAGTACTAAATAGTAATCAAACTTGATATGTTTGCTGTTAGATTCGATGAACCGAGTTCACAAATACGATAAAAAGTCGATAAACTAACGATGGCCGAAAAAAGGCGATCAAAATGACGTATAAGTATGACGTATTGTTGATTAGTGATAATCGTTATTAATCAATGAGACTGATATTGAATTTTGATATAATTAACAGATAGTCGATAATGTAAAATGCATTCAAAAGATTTTCCTTTTAACATTTTCGTTCGCACTCTTTTATTCACAATTTTACAAAATTTCGTATCACATTTTAATATTTGAAAATTGATGTTACAATTTTTCTACATATGTCTAATTTGTAAATAAATTCCTTACAATTTCTTTTAATTTTATTACACATACAAGTACACTCGAAATAACACTCAAAATACACTCGAATTCTTTATAACGTAATTCTCCATAAATGTATTAAACATATATATATGATAAATATAATAATAAATACAATGTTATACATATAATACAATATATAAAATTTAATAATAAAATTTTCATCTAATGAAATATGTTATCTAATAAAATTCCTCTATTGTTGCAATGTGTCTGTTACACGAAAAAAAATATTTTATATAAACTCGAGTGCTTTTAATCTTTTAATCCATTAGCGAGCGATTAATCAACAAAGCTTGTTCTTATATTTATCAAAGTACTCTTGATATAATCTTAAATCATCATACGCACAAGGGTACAAAGGTTTTACAAGAAGGTATGATTTTTTACTTTTGTGCATATATCTTAACTATCACAGAATATTTTAAATACGTCATAATTTATCTCATTATCTCCGTCGTTTCATTAAGTTTTTAAGATAGTTTAAATT